TTCGACAATATTGCGCATATTTCGCCGTTTTCAAGAAACCAATGACCACAACAGGCGCCGTGGACAAGGAAGGACTGGAAGAACAACGGCTATCCATGACAGATTTTTGCAACTGAATGCTTTGAGGCAACGTTTTTTGACCTCAAGACAACTACGAGTACAATTAAATACTACTCACAATATCTACGTAAGTGTGTCAACTGTAAGGAGACGTCTCGCAGAAAGGAATTTAAGATTCAGAATTCCAGCACGAGGACCAAGGTTAAATACAGACCATATCCGAGCAAGACTTCAATTTGCCAGGGAACAGGTAAACTGGGCTGCTGAAGATTGGGAGCGAGTTTTGTTTACAGATGAGACAAGGTTTTGTCTCTACAGCAATGACCGACGAGTAAGGGTTATTCGACGATCAAATGAACGTTACTCGCAGTGTAATATTCGCCAAACCGAGTTATTCAATGGAGGTTCTGTGATGTTTTGGGGCGGAATCTCTTAAACTGCTCGTACAGACATCGTATCTTTGCTTGGATGATCTTTAAATAGTGCAAGGTACATCACGGAAATTTTGTCAGAGCATGTGGTCCCTTTCGCTGGGTATATTGGGGATAACTTTTTACTAATGCAAGACAACGCCAGACCACACACTGCGGGAATAGTGCGAGATTATTTAAATGAGGTGGACATTGAGACACTGGACTGGCCTCTACGCAGTCCAGATCTCAATCCTATAGAACATTTATGAGATCAAATGGGAAGGCAGCTAAGAGATCATCAACCCCTACCTGCGTCTTTGGATGATGTCAAGCGGTAATAGAGAGTAGGGGACAAAACACCCGATACTGAATGTTTTTTTTATTTTTTAAATAATTTTGTTTTCGTTTTGTTAACTTTCGAAACTTTTTCTTGAATAATCTCAAATAAATGCATTTGACATTAAATTCAGTATTTCATTAAATAACTGAGCTAAAAACTCGAATAAAAAAACCAAATGTTCAGAAAGGATAGGGCTATGTTTTAGAACTTTGATTTAAATGAAAAGTTGTTTCACAGAGTCATTCCTGAAGATTTAGGCTGCAATTTAAAAAAAAAATGTCCAAATCGATTAAGCAGTTTGCGAGAAAATTAACTATGAAATTGTGCTAAATTTTAGTGGTGCGTTAATTTTAATGCGAAGTGTACATAAAAAATACATCAAAATCGCCAACATTGTCTCACTTAATTAATGCCCCCCTTTACAAGCATACCTACATGGTGTACAGAAAGTGGCGCTCTGGCGAAATACCACGCGATTTTAGGTTATTTAGTGTATAAAGAATTACAAAAAGTCTAACTTACTTTTGAAATATCTAATATAAAAAAAAAAGATTTTAATAAAAGTTGTTTAATAGTATATTTTAAATTTTGCGGTGACATTACCAACTTAAAAAATAAATACGTAGCCTCCCAAAAACTTAAAAGACCTTTTCCAATAATCAAAAGTATGTAAACTAACCGAGATATAAATAAACATAGAAATCTAGAAACTTATAGAATCTACGTCGAAACGCAATAATCAAACACAGCAGTCGTTACGAAAACTTAAAAGACAAAGACAGATTCCATGCGTACTTAATCCACAGTATAAAGAACTGTATACTGTGCTTAAACGACTACGGCAAAAACGGCTATTGGGTATGAGTGGAAACAACTAGCCGCCTCGGACAGTATTGGAAAGCCAAAATCTGTCTAGGAGGTATATATGATTTTAAAAGTTGGTGGTTTTTAGTAAATCCTATTTTAAAGTTAGTAGATCTACCACCTATATTTTTCAAGTATTCTAGAGACTAAAGTAAGAAATCCGGCACTCTAAATTTTTCGATGGATAAAAAATATTTTAAGTATTTTCATAAAAGAACCAATTATAAAGCAGAATTACAGATTGCCATTGTTTAAAATAAGAATAATAAAAAGTCAAAAATTAAAGAACAAATTATGATAATTATGAAATTATAAACTTGCACTAGGGAAGTATACTCAAATTAATTAATTAAATATTTATAACCTGGAATTATTAGATAATTAACGACATAGTAGACCATATCGTAATTTAATAGTATACAACCCAAGTGCCTAAAGGGATTAGAAGCGGGCATCTGGAAAAATGGAAAAAGTGTAAAAATATAAAAAAAGTATAGCTTTTTCATTATTCTATTCTTTAAAACTATACATATTTTGATGGAATAATTTAAAATGTTCTTTAGTGGGTGTAGGTTGTTTAGCACTTTTGTTGATAAATGTAATATATAATATTATTACAGTAACACGCTATATACTTTATGACGTGGAGTTAGACTTTAGACGTGGAGTTAGACCTAAAAATCCAAACGACGCTACATCAAAACGGATTCTCCAAAACCATCATAAAAAGGCTCTTAGACCACGATGCCGGTTAAATACCACAGAGGACGAGAACAACAAACCAACTTCAAAGGCCTTTCTTCACTACTTCAAAGGGACAACCAAAAGGCCTTCATCGTCCAAATAAAGTTTTTTATAATTATTTCCTGTTGAATTTAAGTTAACTGTTACACTGAAAGAAATTTGTTGCTAAAAGTAAATACAAATTTATACTAAAAATTTTATACTAGTGCTTTACACATTTATACTACTGTTTATTATGAATGTATGTTAAATTTTGTAATACATTTATTGTAAAGAAGATATGTTAGATCTAAATAAAAATAAACTTACCCTTACAATAAAATGTAAACTATAAGTGAATTACAGCAAAAAAATATTGCTAGAAACACCATTTATATTGCTAGGGCAGCAATAGGCTGCTAACCAAACGAATATATTTGTTTTAGCAATGTATGTGGTAGTCCATATATGAAACATAAAATATATTAGCCCTAATTATTTTTTTATTTAACTTTAGTATATATTTCTTTCAGTGTACATAATTTTTCATGTAATATTTATTAGAGTTCAGGCTCAATCGACTGTTAGAAAAAGGAGTAAATAAATTATCAGGCTCGAGATCGCTTTAACTGAGGGTTCGAAATTGTCTATTATGCCTCGTTTATCGGAAAACTTTAATAAATTAATCATTACCATAAAATACTAGGTAATCAAAATTAAACAAATAACAAAAACAATGTCTGCGTCGTACAGTCAGATAAAACCAGACCGGCCGGCACCTAATAAAATTTACAGGATATATCCTATATTAATAGGATTAAGGCCAAATTTTAAAAAATGTTTTTTATATAGCCGGTTTTGCTCAAAAACCTACGAATAAAATGTGAAAAACATATTAACAAAATAAATTTAGTGAAAACCTGAAAAAATAGAACAAATTTTAGTAGTAGTATCGACATATCCAAGCCACATGCTCATCATCATTATTATTTATTGGATATAGTGCTATAAAAACTTGGATTTGGCCGGTTTTGCTCCTAAAGTTACCTTTTAAATGTGATTTTAACATGGATATAGTCGGATTTAAACCGAATTATCTTGGTTGTCGATAGAAATGAACCCAAAGATGCAAAATAAAAATTAAAAAAAAAACTAAATAAAATGGATTTAGCCGGTTTTGCACGGATGCTCCTCAACTAAGAAACATAATTGTGAATTTACGAGTACAATTTAATAAATCCAGTATTTAAGAAAGTCGAAATCAATTACACTTAATTTACACAGCGTTTATGGCAAATCCCCTTTTAAAAATATTTATTAAAATAATTAAATAAACTCAAGTACAATCCTGACATTTAGATAAATAAAATTCAATACGTACCTGCCCATTAAATTAGATACAACCCTGCTCTTTCAATTTGATAAAATCAAGTACAAATTGTTTATTATTTAGAATCTAAATTTTCATAAGAGATAGTTCAAACGTAAATTTATTTCAAGTCGATTACGGGCGTGGTTTATTAAAAAGCCATCATGGTAGAATAGATCGATCTATGACGCCAAGTGAAATGATCTAATATTTATCTTTACACAAGGCATTTGTGTAAACTAATTATACCAAAATATTCTAGAATATTTATACTACAATTATTTAGTTATTAAAATGTACAAACCTACAAATTTAAACACTTTAACATTCATCAAATTCACACCTCTTCTTCGCTGCCCGGGTTCTTCTTGAATGATCCAGTGTTGTCAATGCCTTATAACCAGATAATCCGCTTCAACCTGTCAAAAAATCCAAAAATATCCAAATAATTCGATTTACATACGAGGTGTGAACAGAAAGTAAAAATGCTTTTTTATGGATAGCAACGACGAGAAAAAAACCTCGTTCGATAGGTCTATTGCAATTTTCAAAGTGTCTTAGGGCGAAAAATAAAAATAAAACCTCAAACACTTTCTTTTTCCTGTATTTCAAAACAAAATTAAACATACGTAGATAAAACAAACACTTTTGAAATTTAGCTTTAAACAGAACACAACATAAATAACATTTTAAAAAATGCTCAGCATTTTATCCAAAAAATCCGTAAAAAATCTTCCGAATTACAAAATCCGAAAAAAATCCGATTGTTCAAAACAAATCCCCAAATCGGATTTTAATCCGCCAATTGACAACACTGGAATGATCCCCATCTCCGTTCTCAGTTTTTCCACCTTGACCACCGGCATTCTTCCCCCTTCCTTCACTTACCTAAAGAGGAGTGCCCCTCTATTCCAATCGTTTCGCACTCGGTACGTCAAATACATTTATACTTCGCGCTAAATTTAAATGTTAGTTTATTTACATGCCTTTTTAAATACCTTTATTTTAAACAATTAGGATCGTAATAACCCAAGGATTGTTTAGTCGAGGGGGTATTTGCAGATCTCCTCAGGCTATATAAATCCCTTTAATATTAAGTGTTGACACTAATAAGGTTTAAATTATAGAGATTATATAAAAATGTTTTTTAGTTTAAAAAACGCTAAATCGAACCAACAAATCTCTTAATCATTGTACCAGGATGCTTTTAACTGGATTATCTATTTTTTAGGTTAAGCGAAGCATCATGTTGAAAATGGCCGACGCTTGTCAGGAACAATCGAACAGAAGCTTTCACGAAATGTATGTCCAGCGACACAATAACGTTTCGATACTTTACGCGGACATTGTTAATTTCACCCCGCTGTCCGAGCAATTGTCTGCTAGCGACCTCGTCAAGACTCTCAACGAGTTGTTCGGAAGATTCGATCAGATTGCCCAGGTACTGTAAACACAAGTAATTTTCGGCTTCGAGTGTTAAGTCAATTTAAACTTAATTTGGTTGACACCTTAACAAACAGTTGCGATGCCTTTGTTAGCAATGAGCGAGGGCCGAATTCAAACTAAACAATGCATTTTTTTAATTAATAAGGTACACTATATTATATACAATTTACGGATAGTGCATGCTGCATCCCAATCAGCGTGTTTAACAAAATAGATGTTTAAAATTTGATTTTATATTTTTTATAGTCCTATTTTAATTTAAAATACGATAAAAGGGCTTTACAACTAAAAATACCTTTTTATAATAGTATATTATGTATCTAGTTTTATTAGGCACGAGCGAAGCTTACGAGCGAGTATTTAAAAAAACGACGAACCCAAAGAAGAATACCAATTTAATTGTTAAATATTTGACATTTAAAAAATGTAACCTTAATTTTTACAATTTATAATAAAGCAAACTTTAGCCCTCGAATAAAATGCTCACAATCCACTATTGCTAATTTTAGCTTGTCAATGAGGGAGTAGATATATATATATATATATATATATAGTATATTATGTATTAAGTTTTATAAATGCCAATTTAGGTACGAGTTTTATTGGACACGAGGGAAGCTTGCAAGCGAGTGTTTAATAAAAACGAGTGTCTAGTGAAGTTTATAAAACGAGTTGCATACTATACTTTATCTACGACGAACACAAAGAAGAATTTAAAACCAATTTTATTTGTTAAATATTTGACAACTGTCAAATTTCAAAGGATTTAAACTCACTTTTCCCCAATTTATAATAAAGCTAAGCTAACTTTAGCCTGTGACTTAAATGCCCAAAAGCCACCATTGCTAACTTCAGCCCGTGACTAAAACGCCAAGTCCCAGCTCGTCAATGTAGGAGTGGATTTATATTTCAACGAGAATTACGAGGATTACCTTAAATAGAATACAATATTACAAAGATTTTTTTTTCGTAAAAGATATGTTATTTAATTGATTTTTTTTTAATATTTGAACATTTTTGTGTAATTGAATATTTTTGTATTTAAAAAATCCAAAATAGTAAAGCTTTTGTAAATATTTCTAAAAATGATTAAGTGCAAGGACCCATGTTTACAAAAAGAATATTAATCGATTCTACTAAAATTTTAAACACATCCCCTAAAACCAAAATATCTGTCTTCCCGTCCCCACCTTCTTTTGTTTCTAATGGGCGTATAGCAACGGCCCGGCAAATCCGGGAGAGGCTATTTAAACTATTTGCATGTCGCTCTCGAGCCCTAAATATGGACGCGGTGGACATTCGCACCCAGCAAACACGGGTAAAGCTAGCCAGATTGTGTCGAATATTTAAAATTTAAAACGAATAACTAAAGTATAGCTATTTTATTAATTTTTTTTTAGATGTTTTAATATATCTATGCGCATCTACCCACCACTCAAAACCTCTACATCTCTCACCAACATGGTTTTATTAAAAACCGCTTAACAGTAGCTAACCTGACTTATTTGGCTCTGTTTACCACTACTTGTAGAAATATGGCAGTACTAGATAACTGTAGAAAGGTAGATGCGATATATACAGATTTTTTTTAAAGGCTTTGATCGGATCGGAATTATAATAATAATTAATATTGTTATTTTTTATGTTTGGAGCATCGACTCCTATAATTATTAGCTCTTCTACATTTAACTCAGATTTTTCTATATTGTATTTCTGATAGAATAAAGTTTATTTTTTACAAAAGAGAAGTAAAATGATTGTCCTCATTTGAGGCTTACAAGTGCCTTTGTAAGAAACGCAACGTTTAAAACGATTATTATTCTGTATTAACAGCACAAACTCAAAGCACAAGAACTCTTAACAACAAAAATGGCCGCCGTTAAACTCTGTGCATTGTTGCAGTGATTTTTTGTAAGCACGAAACGAGATAGAACAGACCTTGTTGTGTGGATTATGGTTTTAACCTTACCTTACTGTCCCAAGCATAAAGCCTATACAAGGAGTACAAAATCAAATAGAACTGACATAATCTGCCTACTATATTGCACAAATTAAGTTTTCTTTTATTATCACTAGCGGCGCTGATTTTTATTTTGTACTAACGTCTGCTTAGACCAAAGGTATAAAGGTGGAAAGCAATTTGCAGTTTGTACTTCTTGTGTTAACCATTTTATATGGCTGAGCATTGTTTGGAGGATCCGCCACCTCTTTAAATTTCAGAAGATAAAATCTATACTTTAAAGAGGGACTTTTCAAACATTGTCCGATCAAAATATTTTTGTTTTGTTTGTTGTGATAATAGTAGTAGTAGTAGTAGTGCACTACTTTTCCCAATGCTCAGCCATATAAAATGGTTACCATTATGTATCCACCCTACATAATAATAATGTTTTTTTTCAAAAATATTTATTTATTTATAATAATTAATAAAAAAAAGTTACAATAAAATTATATTTAAAAATTTGTATTCAAGTGATTAATTATAAAGATTGCATCAAGTATTCTATGTGTATCCTTTTATGTTTTGTTTTATTTAAAGAGCTGCAAGATCGGTGAAATCGGAGAAAAGTTGCTTGATTACAAGCTACAAACTTATGAAGAAACAGCGGTTCTTAAAATATTTGAAAAAACTAAAAATCAGTAAAAATCAAATATCTTTATAACTTTGTTATTCCTGAAAATTACAAAAAACTACATGTAATTAGTATAAATTTGTATCCAATTTTTCGCCAGTATATTTTAAGTTACCATCATCTTTTGTTTTTATGGCCGCCATACTTATCTAACCATCTAAAATTCCAATATGGCTGCCATCCATACTAACTCAAAATCTTGTAGGCGAAAAAACACAAATTAAATAAAAAAGTAGATCAATGTGTGCAGGGCCGGCCCGAGGTACGGGCGAACCGGGCAATGGCCCAGAGCGGCATAATGGGGGGGCGGCATTTTTACGATTTGTTAACGATAATCAAGAATTAAGAATTACACTCGAGAAATGCAGTTTAGATAATTTAATATCTTTGTTACAAAGATTTGAAAGAGGCTCTTTCTTTCATTCGTTTCTTCAATCACATCCTGTAGTTTTTTATAATTTTGTTTGACAATTGACAATTAATAATTGACAAATATTATATTACGATTGGGCTTGTAAAATCAGTGCATTGCTAAGGTAGTTTGATAATTAGAAGTATAAAATGTCTGAAAAACGCAAAAAGATTCAGGAACTTGTTATAAAAACAAAAGAAGGTCGCGTGCGGCGGAAAATCGAGTACTAGCACCAACCTTTTCCAAATTCTTGCAAAAAGAACCACCAGGCAAATATAATAATTTTACTATAATTAAAAAATATTGCATATATGAAAATGAGGTTTTATTTTTGTTGTGTACATCTAAACATTGTTTTTAGAAGTCTAAAATCAATGATCTGACGTGCATCATAGCACCATTCGATTTTGCCAAAGTCCGCTAAACTCAGTACGTAATAAAAAAATGAAACTATGAATATCACCAGTAATGGGTCAAGAAAGTTTCTTAAAGAAACTAAGAAAATTAAATGTTTCATTACGTAATGATTAGTTAATTTACTTTTAAAGATGATTTACCTGAAGTAAGTTAGTTAAAATGTTCGGGTGCACTCGGTCTGTATACTTTTACATTAAAAATACGATATTTTAACAGCAATTATGTATGTAATAATCTGAGCTATTGCGGAATATTGCGAAAGTAAATTTTAACAAACCAAAGAATTCTTGTAATTTAAAAATATTGTTTAATTATACTCATTATAATAGTGACTCTATTTACACTATATAATAATATATAGGATATAATCATTGACAAGTGATGCAATTATGTGTATATATTTAACAGTATATTGCCTTACCTAGTAATTCTAAAGCATAAAAAACTCTTATAAAAAATTAATAAATTTGAAAAAAATTACTTTAAAATACTTTTTTTCCTATTCCTGCTGAATAAAATGGGGGCGGCAAAAATATCTTCGCCCGGGGCGGCAAAAAACGTCGGGCCGGCCCTGAATGTGTGTTTTTTGCAATTTCTTAGTTTTTATTATTTAAGAATTTTTAAATTTTAAATTATTATTATTATTATTATTATTATAATTTCACAGGCCTCGTAGCACTTCAAACGTATTTTTATAAAAAGGATTCCATACATAGAACGAAGCTGGTGCACCCTGTATACTAAAATTTAAGACATTGGGGAAAGAGCTGTTAATACCAAAATTAATTTATTTAATTAAATTTTTTTATTCATAAAAAAATACGTATTCCTTTAATTCCTGTCTTGTCATCACTTACTTTTTGCTGATGACTTAAAACTTTGGTATAATATATCCAGTCTACCTTTAAATTGCATAAAGTAGCAGATTGTGCAATTTAGAAGAGCTACCTATCACTTAACAAGTGCAAAACAAGGATCTTAATTCTTAACATTTTACCCATTGTCTTTGATTATTGTATCAATAATTTTATCCTTTTCGCACTGATACAATCAATGACTTGGTTTTCGTTTTTGATAGTAAACTATCATTTATTACTTATGTTCAAAGTATTTCTTGGTTTTATAAATCAAAAACATCTGCTTTTAAAAATATCGCAGCACTTTATGCAATAAACGTGCTACCCACTTCAATCTAGAATAGAGTACTGCTTTATTATTTGTTACCTACCCCATGTTATTAATTTCAAATCAATACACTCGAAAATATTTCAAAACCTCACCAAGTTTAATAAATTTTATTATTGTACCTACAGATATAGTCTACCTTTCGCGTGTTATTTATCAACATTTTACATTCAGTGTTTTGTTTTAATTTATTACATGTTAGTAAATATAAGTTTTATAAAATATGTATTAAATTTATATAAATATATGTTATGTGTGGGTAAATTAAATTTTTCATTGTTATTATTATTTATATTATTATTGTTATGGCTCCTTGTTAACACATAATACAGAAGATATTAAAAATTA